AGGCACAAAAGTGCTTAAAATAAAAGTGCGATATGATTTGTTACAAGTTTTAATCTACTCCATTTACCTGCACGAAAGGAAACTTTATGCCTCTGTGTTCCATCACAAGCTCAGATTTCATTAAACTTGCTTTTGATCATGCTAAACAAACCAATCGATAAGGACACGTGATAGATTTGTGTGGACATTAATGCAGCCTCGTACTGCAAACATGGCTCAAATCTATGGACAAAACCTGACTGTTGTTGCAGTAAACAAAAATCTTTAATGCGACTGTTTTCGGTTGACTGATGGGACATCGCGTAATTAGATTGAAGTGCTTTTATTGGAATTTTGTGTTAAAAGGCTTCCTAGCTTACAACCACGTGGACATGATCTTTACTTACTGCATTATTATTTCTTAGGTTTCGTACTTATGCGTCAATTTAAAGAACAAAAGCCTTCAGCACTAGAAGCTACAAAAATAAAAATCGTTTTGTTCAAATTGAAAAACTACCTAACGGAAATATAAAAGATGGTAAAAAATTTAGTTTGGGATTACATTTTGTACAAAACCTTAATAAGACAGTTCTATTCTGCCTGTATAGGTAATGCATGTAAAAGCGCAACACGTTTGGCGTGCTTATTCCAGGATTTTAAATGGGAAACATATCTAATATGAGTGTATAGTAAGGGTAAATAAATGCCAGGGAGGTTTAAGCAGCAACTAAGACAAAATTTGACGGCAGACGACGAAGGTATCAATAATTAACAGAAACACTACATTTGAAGTAAAGCTTGACTCGAATCCTTATGTCACTGTTAAGGAGGTGGTTAGAAGATTACAAATTGCATTGCAATTAACGTGCTCTAAGATATCTAACAAATCATAAAGGTGAGAAAAAGAGCTTTTTTTATGATTATATATAATGTGTTCATTTGTGAATCAAACAAACCACTTCCAGGTTTGATGAACAAACTGTACGGCCTGGAAGCGTGAAGCCTACCTAGAAGTAATATTTTAGAGAAAGACAATAAACTTTAGTTCTGCTTGTGCAAACTAAATTGCAACGACTGCAAAGTAAAATCACAGTGACCACTGATTGTATTATAAATGTAGAGCTACACGGTTTCCTTTTTATTGTAATCCTTATAATATTGCTTTCACTTCAATAAAATTAAATTTAAACAACAGTAAATTCCACCTAACAGAGACATATGCAAATGTAACTTACGTATTAACACTGAAAAAACTTGAATTTTGAAACCGACTTTTTAAGTTTCGAAGGCATGGTTATGAAAAGCATGGCGAAAACATCGAGATGAACGTAATTAAGAACAGCTGATATTTCGGTTAAATAATAAAACGTTTAAAAATTCGATCTTTTTTATAAATCAATGTGCAACACTGAGCTTCACTAGATTATTGATAAAAATGCGGCGTGTACAATTTCCCCTTTAAGATGCAGTTAGTGCCTAAAAGTTGCATTTTATGTCGGTACACAATTAACAAATTTTCTCTAATGAATTTACAAGCAGCAAACAATTTTTTTGCTACATAATTCTTTGTTTTGTTACACAAATTTCAAAGTATGTAGTCATTTATAAGCTCTAACCAAAATACCGTTTTCCTTGCATTGTTTTGTTTTAACCGATCAGTTGTAGTAGGTCGGCGTTGGCATATATCTAAAAGCCTTGAATTTAACAGCTGACTCCATTTTCAGTCAGTTTCGTCTAGGTGAACACTTGGATCAGGCGGTGTGCTTGAGAATAGCATCTAACGTTTGAGATTTTTTTTTTGTTGCATAGGTATGTTGACTGGTTTTTGAGCAGTATATGTGAATAATCTCTTTCAATCCAAACAAAAAATATGGTAAATCATTTTTTGCTTCTCTTGGCTTAAAACTTTAATGCAAGTATACCGTTTACTATTACAACTAGGTTTAATAGGCTGTTTAGAGTAATTGCTTTTATCCTAAGGCTTCCTGTTAATTAATAATCATCAAAGCCATAACTAGACAACGGAAAAATCTATTATTTAACGTTTTAAACGTAATCATGTGCACAATTTAGAGAGTTAGACGTTTTACCTTAACTTTGAAACTGAAAAATTACTTTTTTTTCCTGAAGGTGAAACCTCTTTTGTTTATCGGATTTTAATACAATCGATGCTTATTCACAAATAAAAGATAATTTTCGTATCTCTATTACATTTTTCTTACTTTAATGATATGGTCTACTGGCTTACTAATTTTAGTTTATATTTCTCTCTACGAGGTCATTGCAGAATTGAAGCACCTTAAAAACACATTGTATATTTACCTGTAAGGTATAGATTTTTTAAGTGTTCATTTTTGTCTGAACACTTGGGAAATTCAATGATATCAGACCGTAAGACGAACTTTTGGTCGTTAAACTAGGGCTGTGGGTTGAATTAGGTCTGTTTATATTGATGTAGGACCTCGTGCAATCGCATATCTATCATTGCTTCCTCCTCCTTACTCATGATTAAACACTTTTGCATCAATGACACAAGGTTTGAAATGGCTTGTTTTCATTTTACTGTCAGTCTGTTAGTCACATCAACTATTCATATCGTCTATTGAATAGTTTCTTTGCTTAATTCGTTCCAAATCATAATTTGCATTAGTGTTGAAATATGTTTAGTGCGTTTTAATTAGGTTGCTTTCATACGTTTCTGTTTTTCAAAAAATCGTTTTTGAAAATTTGTTTGATTTATCTGTAATGTTCAAATAAACGGAGTGCTGACTATTTTAAGATAGTAGTTTGTGTTTATTTTCAAAGATAAGATTTGTATTTATGTGTCATTTTACTATATTTATATAGGAAACTTCATTGATTTACTCTGTTGGCAGGTTAAGGTGACTTTCGCCACTCTCTTATCTGTCATCGAAAATGCCTTTCGCGAGTGGGATAGCGTCACAAAAACTTTTACGTCGTCACATGTTGTGTGCTCTTATCAGTACTTTGGGGACATGTTTATACAACTAAATATGCAGGGGCGAAGTCACCTGATCTACGCAACGCTTATACATTTATTGGCAAGCCTTGTAACTGCAAATACGTAAACGTCAGACGCAGATCTAACCGAGCCTACAATCACGCGCATTTGTTTGCGTAAATCTGACACGCCTTGAGTTTTTCCCTGTGTCTGTACAGTTAAACGTTTTTGTTCATCTATTGTCCGTTTGGTGGTTTTCTGGACACTCAGGGTCATAGCTACAACGTTTTGGTGTCGCTTGAAAGTTTTATGCCTTAAATTCTACACTTCAGTGACCGTGTCTGGCAGCATGCAACAAGGCAGTAATCTATAAAACATCCTGAGGGAGACAATGGATGCGTTGTTGTTACAATCTCAATTCTTTCCTAAATGTCATTAAACAATTCTCTCTTTGGTTAGGACTGAGGAGCCATAGCCATATTTAGGCCGTTCCCCTTAGAGTTAGAAATTTTTAATGAAGAGGCCAGGATTTCCCTGGTTTCTAAATTGCTAGGCATAATCTATTCCCTGGCTAGATATCACAATAATCGGCTGACTGGAGAGTGGATTTGTAAATTTTTAGGTTATTATGCTTGTTTTAAAATATCATTCCAAGTGTGACAGAGCCTTAACTTAAAACATAGCAACCAAAGGTCAGGATAGTCACCACGACATTAAAACACGCCAATTGGTTGAAATTTAAACGACCCGCTTGATTTTAGAAACCAAACTTCTCACCTTGAAGGGTGTTATTTGAAGGGGTGTTAGTGTCCCCACGCTATCAGACAGCAGTTTAGAATGTGTCAAATTTGGGCTGTATGAGTCTGTTTAGCTCAAACAGAATAAATTTGAATTGTTTTCAAATAAAACTGGGGAAATCGTAGCGAATTCTTCTGCTGTCTTACTGACATGTGTTTAAGGAAATTCAATGTCTGAAACTTGGTGATATTTACAAATGGCTAACACTTAGCCAATGTCTGAATTATTCTCGTTGGTCGTTGCATCGTGTTGTCTTCGGTCCAATTTGGTGGTTGATAAGTCATCTGTTAACCGTTGACGTCGATGTTGCAGATCATGGTGAAGACATTTCAAGTGTACCTCGGCGTGAACAGCGGTGGTACCAGTCGATGCAGCAGTTCCACTGCAAGCTCCACAGGAGGCACGGATTCTCCTGACGCCTCCAACAACGAGGTGGTCGACGAACGCACCTACAGCTGCGTCCACTGTCGTGCTCACCTCGCCCGACACCAGGATCTAATCTCCAAGTCATTTCAGGGCACTCAAGGACGTGCCTACCTCTTCGAGGCTGTTGTCAACGTCTCTTGCGGCAAACCAGAAGAGCGTCTTCTGCTGACCGGTGCGTTCGCGAAAACCACTCATGACTGTGAAGACTAGCTAATTTAACTTCAATTAAGTAGATGGTAGGCCACTCAGCCAAAAACAACCTACACACTTGCAAAAGAGGGTAATTATCCGTCTCTTTGACTCTTCTATCTATGCTGGAGCTCTCAATTTCCGTGGTTTATGCTGGATTAATTGCTTTTTTTCTTTAAATTCTTGCACTTCATTAAATTAATGACAGTTAAAATAAAGGCCGGTTGCTAGACGCACCGATTCCGACACGTTATTCTTTAAATTAAAGAACAAAGCACCGTTTTGCTTTGCTCTCGCGGTGTTCAATCACTCCTTCGATAATAAAACAGCGGAATTCGGAACCATTTCAAGTGCATTTTGAGGCTAAATTTAGAAACCAAATGCTTTTCAATAAAAAAAATCGTCTTTTAATAAAACACATAAATCGGTTTGTATAAAAATATGAAATAGGCGCATCTTTGTTTAAAGACTTTCAAATTACTCAGCCGAAAAGATCGTCCGGGATTAACCAGGTCTGGTGGGTGGCATTTTGGTGGTCGTATTCTTCCTTGCTTCAACGACGTTCCATGGAGTGAAATAGGGTTTTGTAATTCCGATTTTCGTATCAATCGCGCATTGACGTCTGCCTCTAAGTTAAAATTCTCACGTACTTCGAAACTGATGCACTTAAAACCTTAGTTCAGTCGATTCAGTTCCCACAAGGTGTTGCAAACATGTGCAGCTGCTTCAATTCAGGGTGAAACTGTCCTTTGTCAAGATGGTCCTCTCTTAACTAGCCGGGACATACTTTGGCCGGTACTTGGAATCGCTTGCATGCTGTGAAGGTTTGACAAAATGAACACATTCCATTGATGCTCCAACTTCACCGCAATGCGTTTTCGCTCAATCTCTACGCGGCGAAATAGGCCGCGCCGCTACTTTTTTCGCATGTCCAATTTCGAGGTGAGGCAGTGCCTCTTTGTCATGAAGAAGCACACGGGGTTGACTCATTTCTGCTGCGCTAAGTAATCTACGAAAAAAAAAGACGTCTCAGACGTCGCATTCAAATTCTTTCAACTTCCGTAATCTCTGAATTCGCTAACCTGTCAGGAGATCAACTGGAGCAAAATTATCATTACCCACGGAACAATCAGCACTGTAGTTTTCGAGCGACGATTACACTACAACTACACAGCAAGGAATCGGGCAAACAATTTAGCAACGAATTGACCCTTGATGTCATTCAAAATTTCCAACCGGATACTGTTTAACCCTAGCCATGACGTAGCACCTTTGTCTTAAAACAGCAT